GTTTTGCATTGGAAGACTTTCTACAACATCATCAAAAGTTGGTAAAGGAAAAAATAATTGTTTAGTAATCTGGCTCAAATTGCGATAATCAACAACAAATCGTTTAGTGCCATCTTTCTTTTGAACGAGTAATACGCTTGCACTCCATGGTGATACTAATTCTTTGATAAATCCTAATTTCAAAAATTCATTGCACTGCTTTGTAATCTCTTTCTTGTTTTCTGCGTTTGCTGGGTATACACGTTTGCGAATGGGTTTATGATCGCCGGTATCTATGGTATGATAAACTAAGTCAGAACAGGATAGATCTGATAACGATTTTGCAAAAACGTCTTTATTGTTTGCTATGCATTGTTTTAACATTATTATATCTTCCTTAGAATGTTTATTCATTTCGATTTGTAATCCTAAGTCATTAATCACATCGTCACAACTTTCTAAGGTAGAACGTTGAAGTTTGTTGAACTTCGTTATATTAAACTGAGTTTTTCGGTCTGAAATGTTGATCACGTCATCACTGCTCTCTAACGAAGTGATGTGATGGTAAGTAATGCTGACTGAACTTTGGTTGATTAATTTGGTTGTGATCTTTCTTTGCTACACGCATCATAGGTTGTTGATTGATTCCAATGTGTTCAATTGTCGCTATGTTTGTGTACGGTTTGATTGTAATTGATTTGTTTGTTATGTTCACTACGCGGCACGGTATTTTGGTTGAGTGTGGTTGTGTAATTATGCGTGCTACCAAAAATTTTGCTTTGTGAAGTTTAAAACGCGGTTCTACAATATATGTATTATTATGCTTAATTGGTTGGTTTGAGTGTGCTTAAAATAATGTTTCAGAGTATGGTGGGATAAATATATGTGTAAGGGTTCGTTCTTTAATTTCTATTATTATTTCAACCTCGCAACAAGAACAAGTACGTTGCAACAATTTCTCTATTACAAGTAAAAGAACTGTTTATAATGTCAGACAAGTAACAATACTTACAAACTGACGTTAAGAGTCAATATCTCCAATTAATTAATTAAACAACGTTATAAGTAAATATCCTTAAATAATTAAATATATAACGTTATGAGTCAATATCTCCAATCAATTAATTAAACAACGTTATGAGTAAATATCTTTAAATAATTAAATATATAAATCTCTATATTTCACAAATCATCGGTTCACGAATCTACCACTTCAACTTCCGAGACTCCACGATAATTCTAGCGACGACAACAATTCCTGAACTGAAATTCTGAGCCTGTTGACGGGACCTTCCCAGCGCTTTTATAGACGTTTGGCCGCTATCACTCCCATGTTCAGAAATTGCGACAAGTTATTAATAACTCACGCAAACTGAGTTATTAATAATTATTTGTCCTTGAAGAGCAGTTCAATATTTTTAACCAACTTTTTTTTTAAACGTTTTTTTAACTTGAAATCACCACGGCCACGAGATATTAATTACTTGTTTACTGGTTATCCATTTAAATCGTATAGCGCTACACTGAACCTTGACATACCTCTCACCCAACATGATGAATATTCCTAGGGGAGGAATATTCATTACCTTGTACCTCCATCCTCTTGCAACCTGGACAGGAAGTCTGCAACGTTCCGGTTACCTGCCCTATAGGTGAAGCGTAGATCATATTCTTGTAATGCGAGAGCCCATCGCATCAGTTTAGAACTTTTAGAACTTTGGATTCGGTTAAATATGTCAATGGGTTGTGGTCGGTGTAAACGTGTATCGTCGACATACAAATCCATGGCCGATACTTTTGTAGAGCCCATATAATGGCATACGCCTCCCTCTCGATTGTTGCCCGCCGACGTTGAGTATCTGTCAATTTACGACTGGCGAACGCTATAGGTTTCTCGCAACCATTATCATCCTGTTGTACAAGACAACATCCTACAGCATGATCACTGGCATCTGTGATTAGCCCGAAATCTCGAGCATAATCGATGGTATTCAATGTTGTTACGCTTTTCAGTTGTTGAATGATCTTATCAAGACTATCTTGATGCGCGTTTGTCCACTGAACACGATTTGGCACCTTATTCTTCGTCAATTCAGTAATGATGTCTAACGTCCTTGCTAAATTTGGTATGAAACACTGAAAATAATTGAAAAACCCAATGATCCTTCGTACCTCTCTCTTTGTTGTAGGCGGTCGGATGTTATCAAGCACCTGCAATTTAGTCGGATCTACTCCAATGGTCCCCGACCCTATGACATGACCTAAAAAATGTAGTTTCGCTTCAGCGATTCGGCATTTTTCAAGGTTAAACGTTAACCCAGATCGTGCGACAATGTTGAAAAATGTTCGCAGATGTTGTAAATGTTCCTGCCACGTTGTTGAGAACACTGCGATGTCATCAATGTAGGCCTCGGTAAATTCCTGCATACCTTGAGTGAGTTGAGTTCTCTCATAGCTCGAGTGAAAGTGATGCTAGCTGACTTCAAACCGAACGGCATGCGTTTGAACTCATAAAGTCCTTCATGACAAACGAAGGCAGTCAGCCAACGTGACTCCTCTTCCATTGGTATTTGCCAATACCCACTCCTAGCATCGAAGTTGGTGATGTAATTCGCTCTCCCAACCTTCTGTAACACATCTCGCACATCAGGAGTTGGAAATCCATCACCTGTTGAATGTTTGTTGACATACATGTAGTCGATTGCCAAGCGCACACCCCCGTTTTTCTTGATGATACAAACAACCGGACTAGCCATTTCACTTTTGGATGGAATGATGATGTCCTGTTCTAACATATCCTTCAGCTGCCGTCTAACCTCCTCCCGTAGTAATTCCGGAACCTTGTATGCTCGCAACCGTTTGGGTTTAAACTCCTGATCAACCCGAATTCGGTGTTGTATGTGGTTGTAAATGCCCACCTTCGGCGAAAATATCTGTGAATGTTCTTTCATCAAGGTTAATACATCGCGCCTCTTCTCTATTGACAAATGTTTCAAACCCACAACATCCCAACAACCCACAGCTCCCATAGTACCCGCACCTGATTCGTAAGTCTTCAACACCCCAAACTCGGTCTCCTTATCTCGTAAAATAGCACAACTATTTACCACCGCCTCCTCGATTCGTTGGTTGAATTTACGCAACTTGTTCGCGTGCACGTGATGTTTTCGCCCTTCCATTTCCACCACGTATGAATATGGCGATTTCACCTTGGAGATTACTCCGGGACCCTGCCACTGATTACACCATTTGTTTCGTAATGGCGTCGGTATCAACATCACCACCATGTCTCCAACCTGTAAGTGCCGATCACTACTTCTTCAGTTGTACTGATGGGCGTACTGTTGTTGTTCCTTCTCAGTATGATACTCAGCATATGATTTAGCTAATTCTAGGTGATGGCGAAGGGTTTTCAAATACTCATCTGGCCTTTTCCCAATATTCAACGGTAGTTCATTTTCCCCTACCCATGATTCCTTGAGTATTAACAGCGGACCTCTCGGTAACGTTCCATACAACATCGTATATGGGCTGACGTGAGTTGTAGAAGACGGTCGTTCCCTCAAACTCCATAATACGAATGGCAGTACTCGATGCCAACTTCGATGATGTTCCTGGGCCAATTTGTATATCATCGCCTTCAACGATTGGTTGCAACGTTCCACAACCCCGGATGCTTCAGGATGTCCTGGCGTGTTGAATCGCGGGCTACACCCCGGTTTCTTCAACATCACTTGTGTAATCTGACTCGTAAAGTTGGTGCCGCAGTCGGAGCTAATAACTTTTGGTATGGAGTACGTCATGAAAATCTGAAGTAAAACTTCACAAGTCGCTTTGGCGCTGATCGATTTCAAGGGGTAGGCCATGGGCCACCTCGTGAATAAATCTACCACCACCAGTGCATAGTTATATTCAGGCTTGGTACCACCACCGTCGGTAATCATCGGTCCGATACAGTCCATCACCAAATGTGTAAATGGCAATTCATCATTCCGCGATATCGGAGTAATTGGTACTCTGTCGGCAACCTTGACTGGAGCTCTGAGTTGACAAATTGTACATGATTTACGATACTGTCGAATTCTTTCAGTCATCTCAGGGAACCAGAAACTGAGCGCGATCCGGTATCTGGTAGATTTGAATGCCATATGACCTGCGAATGGTGCATCGTGCCTCAACTCTAACACGGTGTTGATTCGCGACACTGGTAGACATTGTTTGACTTTGTGCCCGAGTATTACTTCCTTGTGATATAAGACTCCATCTTCAATAAAAAAATTCTTCCTACCCACCTTAGCAAAACCCCACCACCTTTTCAATTCGTTTGTTCTTTAATCATCGTTAATTTGTCAGCCACACCGTTTATCCCATCATTAAAGACCTCTCCCGCAACCTCCGCTGATCCCTCTATATCCCCCGACTCCTCAACAGTGTCACATCGACTACGACGACTCGGATCATCTGGCACCTCTACCTCATCTGATGCATCGTCATCTTTCCTTACCATTACCTCATTCGCGTCAACATTTATCGCCTCGTCATGACCTTCTTCATCTATCCCATTGTCGGTACCTGTCAACCCTTCTCCTCTACCAACCTCATCAGTTATCTCATCCCCATCCTGATTAGACCACTCTTCCACATCACAGTCAGACATTGCCTCCCCCACCCTCTGCTCATCATCATCGTTCACAGGACTGGGAACCTCGTAGTGCTTGACTTCGTTTAATAACTCTACCACCCCTGGAGTTATCAATAAACCTTCTACCAAACTTGGTATCACTGCACACCACACCTTCACCGCAGGAGCCATAACCCTACACCTTTCGTCACTTGGTATCGGTTTCAGATTTATCGATATACCATCTACCTCCTTACCCTCTGGTTCCAAACCTCTTACCATTAACTTACCTCCCAATGGCAGGTTCAAACTTTCACACAATTCTTCACTAATGCAACAAACCTCCGCTCCGCTATCAATCAGAGCCTTCCGATTCAGTGTATCATTCAGCATCACATCAACGTACGACCTTTCATAAAACTTGTCCGCCTGTATGACCCTTGGCACTTTCCCTTTGTTGACTCTCATTCGTTATGACGTGTAGCCATTTCGGTTTTGAAGTAACCTCACATTTGAGAATACGTTTTGGCGTCGCGGTCGATGTCGGTTTTCGGTTACAAAACCTTGCGATATGCCCTGACATATTACATCTGTAGCACCGGTCCTCTTTTCTGGCATCATTGGACACGTTTTTATAAAAAACGGGAGGTGGTCGCTTTGATGTCGTTGGTTGGCTGGACATCTTCATATTCATATTCATCTCGTGTCGGTCGACTGTTTTTGCTAAAACCTCATAACCCATCCAGTCGTCCATTTCTTGGGTTAACACGAATTCTAACACGTTTTTCGGAAGAAGTTCCTTCAGGCGGTCGGCGCAAATCAAATTTACCACACCTTGAAATGAATCGACTTCACGACTTTGGAAGTAAAACTGAAGCGTGTTGTGCAGTCGATGAGCGAACATAACAAACGACTCCTCCTTCTGTCTCCGCATTGTGAAAAATTCATCTCGCAAACGAACGGGTTTAATACGATATTCTCAAAGTAAATGTTGTTTTACCTTCGCATAATCTCGCATGTCTTCTCCACTGAGGTTATCAAGCCAGGACTTCATTCCATCATTTAAATTCATCATTAATAAATTCGCCCTAATGTCCCAATCCACATCATGGTTATCGAAAATCATTAAAAGTTGTTGTTGGACCTGGAGAAAATTTAACTATATTTCTTGCTAGTCTTCTCGAAACTGGCTTTGAAGATGTCCACTCTATACCATTGGGCGACTTCACTGTTTCAAACTTGATGGACCCATCTTCATTTTCATCGCTTTCTTCCATTTCATCACTGCTACTAGGCAATAGATCATCATATGTAGTAAGTTTCATATCAATATCAATGTCACTGTCGCTATTGAAATTATCTTCAACTTGTGTGTCTGATGACTGATCCGATGAAGAATCACTAATATTAGGATCTTCAACATTATCTACTTCATCCTCACTATCAGATACATTAATAAAAGTAATAGCTTCTTTTAAACTATATTTTTTAGACATTTTAATTTCTGAATTTGTAATAGCAGTATTCAAGTACAGAATTTTAAAAATCTGAACACAAAATGTTTACGAGTGATAATAAAAAATAGATTGATTCACTGCTTGACAAGTACTATTCGGCAGAAACATACATAAGGCAGAAATCTGACAGAAATGTAATTATGTATGTATAAATATATGATTAAGTTATTATTACAAAACGGTAAATGAAACAGCAGATCATCTTCTTTATAGGGGTATTAAAGGTCACTCGATCACCTTGACCCCCGTTATGTCTACAAATGTAGAGAGGTAAGTGAAATAAGATGATTTACATCTAGTAGCGCCACCTATAAAAATTTTTTGTTGAAGTTTTAAAAATCGTTTGATCAAACTAAAATTTTCTTGGAAATAAAATTTCAGCCCAATGAAATAAGAAATAAAAAAGTTGTTGAAGATTGAAAATGCAATGTCTACATTTGTAGACAGGAATGTGTTTGAGGGTTAATGCTTTATAATTATGCTGGCGTATGCGAATGTTAATCTTATTGCTGTTATGGGTGTCAAACTTTGAACTGCCGTGTGTGTTGTGTTGTGTGTTGAATGATATCGAGTGCTATTGTTGTTTGATGCGAGTAGCAGCGGAACGTCATTCTGATTTAACCGATCTACACATTGCAGAAAAATGATTCATCTTGTTATCTTGTTACATCTGAAACACTGCTTGTTGTAAGCTGGGCATTTTCCTGATGTGTGTTCTGTTCCACAGTTATTACATTTATAAAGTGTTAGTTGTTTAACTGGTTCGTAATATCTAACTCTTCGCTCGTTGCTCTTGTTTCGTGGAATAAACTGTTGCTGTCTATTACTGTCTCTAGGAGAGTTTGAACGGGATCTACTCGATCTTGATCTAATGCTACTTGGTCTGCTGTCACTACGATTTCTTGATTTCTCATCATTATAATGATTTGATCTGCGGTCTTTGTCGTAATCATAATCATCTCGCTCGCGACTACGCAACTTGTACTTATTATCATCAACTCTTGCAACTTTTATATTATTAATTGACTCTTCTAATCTCATCAGCGTGTTAGCGATTTCATTATCATGGGAGTTATGTAAACAATTGTTTTCCACTAACCTCGCTGCTTCATAAAGTTCGTCAATGTTAGTTGGTTTCATAATGGTGATGTCTCTTCTGATATCGTCACGTAGACCTCCAATAAGTGCGCCGAAGTAGTTGTAATCGTTCTTGTCGACATCTGCTTGTGGTAGCTAAAGAACTCATACGAAAAAAATAATCATCAAAAGATTCAAACAATCCTTGTTTCGCTGACCAAATATTTTTCAAATTTTTCCAACGCAAATTACTAGGGTTGTAACGTTCGTGAAAACTGCGTTTCAAGTCTTTGTATGAACTTTTGGTTTGCGATGGTAATGAATTCAACCAATGAAGTACTGGACCTTTGAAAAGCAAACTCAAAAGTGCGACAATCGTTTTCATGTTATCAACGTAATATTGACTTTGAATATTCGCATCATTGCTTGGAAGCCAGTGTTTAAAAGTAAGCCAATTCTCGAAGTACTGCCACCAAGTTAGTGCGTCTTGATGATTGCCGTCGAATGATTTCGGGTATGTTGGATCGTTGATGGATGGTGTTTGAAACATTGTTAGTTGGAGTGTTTGCATATTGCTTAATGTTGCAGGTGCGTTATTATGCATTGGCTGTTGTTGCGCATGTGCGTGTGATTGAGGTATTGGTAGCTGTGCATTTGATGTAGCTGTTAGTATTGGTGATTGAACGTGTTGTAACACTGATTGTTGTTCGGGTAAAAATGTGGTTGTGCTACTGATTGAATAAGTTGTAGTGCTGCTTGTATTTGTGAAACAGTTGGTGTGACAGTGTTAATAGGTTGTGTGCATTGAGGTGATGTTAGCGTGTTTTGTTGAGTTGTGTTCGCTTTTGTTGCATTGCATTCTAATTGTGTTTGTGGTAATGTGTTTGATCGTGA